GAATCAGCACTCTAAACCCCGGGAGCTGTGACTCTTGCAGAAAATGAGAGGTCTCCTGTCCTAGGCCTCCTCAGACGCTCTCCTGAGGTCACATTTTCCCGCAGAGCCCAGTCTGATTGGGCGGGCCAGCGCCTTCAGGGTCCCTGACCAACTGAGGACATAAGTGGGAGCAGCGCCTGAGGTGGGGTGCAAAGCCCAGGATTGTAGGAGGAGGCAGAGAGGTGGGAGTGTGTGGCCCTTCAGGTAGAATGAAGTGCCCTGCCTGGGTCCCTTGTTCCCATAGGCCCTCTGTGAACCACATGGGCAGGCCAGAGGACCACTGAGAACAGTGCCCTCCCCAGGCGGGCGACCAACCAGAGCCTGTACTGGGACACAGGGGGAACCCAAACCCAGAACGCCCTGTCTCTGTGTATGTGAGCCCTCCCAGGCCCCCCTGTGCTGGTCTGAGGAGCACTCCAGGGCCTGCTCCCCAGGGTGCCTCTCTCCCTGGGCTAGGGGGGGAGTCCCTGAGGGGGGAGTCCCAGTGCGCTTCATTCTCTCTGGGGTGGAGGTGGCCTGGGCTTCTAGCGCCTCTCCAAGGAACCCAGCCAGCTGAGTGGGTCCAGTTCCCAACCAGCTGGTCTCTGGTCCTCCCTGAGACTTGACCCAAAACCAAGGCTGAATATCTTCCATAGAGCACAGTGCTCAGAGGAAATTGGCCTCCTGGTTTTTCTGGACCCTCGTTCAAATTAGAAATGGCTTTTCGATGCCAGTTTTTTGGTTTGTTCTCCCAAGTCCCCAAATTTAAGAGCAACATCGAAGGGCAAATGGCTAGTGTGGGCTACCCCAAAAGCCAGGAGAGCCAGAGATGGGGCAGAAATATCGCACACTGCTAACTGGACACGAGTGTGCTCATGCCTGCGTACCGGAACAGTGCTGACGGTCACGAGGTAACTCGTGTTTGCACTTGAATTAGTTTATGCCGTTAGTAAGCCTGAAAACAATGTAGGTCTTTATAGGAGCTGGCAGCATGGGATAGCTTTGGCTTGAAATAGCTAGTCAGCAAAGTGTTAACAACAAGACTAGGCCAGATGTTTGAAAATAGCATTTAAGATCAAGAACAGTAAGTACCGTGAAGTGTTTGTCTATATCTAAAAAATAGCAGTAGCAACAACATTTTGTAAAAACCTCAAATTGTATCTAAGCAAGGACATGTATATGGACATTGAAACACTCATCTATTCCAACAAAAAACTGTCTCCTTGGGACTTAGCAGGAAGTCTTACTGCTACTCTACTTTATAACCTATAGATTAAATTTCATTAGCTTCTCCAGTCATGCTTTTTATGAATTTGTTAAATTTGTTAATAAACCAAAAGCCAAACTCAATGCCACCGAGTCAATCCTGACTCATAGCGACCCTATAGGACAGGGTGTAACTGCCCCGATGGGTTTCTAAGACTGTCACTTGTTACGGGAGTAGAAAGCCTCATCTTTCTCCTGTGGAGTGGCTTGTGGTTTTGAACTGTTGACCTTTATGCCATTAGGCTCAATCTGAGAGCCATGCTATTTAAACCCATAAGTTAAACCACTGGGACAGATGAAAAAAGTTGTTACTTATATACAGAGAATACTCTTAAAATGCCCACAATAGTTCCAAATAAAGACTTTATAGAAACCTTTAATCTATTTAGTGACTGATTTCTATTCTTGACCATTTTTGAGTCAGTAGTAATTCGTGAATCCTGTCACCTTCCAGAGTTCTAGAAATTTTGATTTAGACTGGTAGGCTCCAACCTCATGACATTAGTCTTCTTTTAAGTCCAATATAGTCCCTCCTGTTTTGGGGTTTGTTTTTTTTGTCAAATGTCTTAGCAGGTCAACAAAAGTGACAAAACTTGATATGGTGATGATTAAATCATTATATATGAGATGTGATTTGGAAATTCCAGAACCAAGGCACAAACCAAAGTTAATTTAAGGTCAGAAAGAATGTTCGACAGAAAGAAACAGGTGAAAAAAAATCTTATTCCTAAGAGTTTTAAGCATTTCATTTTGCTCCTAAGTTATATCATTGAAAAATTGTTGAAGTGATTCAACTCAATCGTGTCTGACTTCATTCAGTGATGCCCCTGGCCCTCCCTGGTCCCTGGTCCAACTTCATTCCCACTGGCCAAATATATTTAACATGGTAACCAGTGTTTACTTGAACTGATCATCATTATCAGCGTGTTGTGGGTGAGGGCTTTTAGTCTACTTCACTTAACTCTTTTTAGAGACTGAATTTAACTACTATTTCAGTTGAAAGTATTGTCACCGCTGTAACATTTTGTGGTGTACGATTCTCCGGGCTTTTTCTAAAAGTTTTTAAACATTCCACTGTTTCTTGTTTTCTAAACCAAAGTCACTAAAGTTCACTTCCCTTCAAACTTTCTATGACTTGCTACACACTCCCAAGTGTTGCCTTACTGTCTTCACATTCTGGCACAGACAAAACGCTTCTCCATTTCTTTCTTCAAAATGCAGAGACATATAATCAGTCATTGTTGCCTTCCTTCTAGCTTTCTGGCCGATGCTAAAACTTTTGGTGTTAAGTTGGTCTTCATTTGGTAGCCAAGGCTAGACTAAATCATTTCATGCAGGTTCACCACCCTAAAATGATATGTGTTAATAATTGAATATGATACACAATTTAAACCAAGGAAGAAACTTTAAGGCATATAAATTTGAAAGGCATCAAAGTTTTATTATTATTATTTTAATCTTAAGTACATAGGTTCAAAAGAAACAAGTTAGAGATTAAAGTGATTAAAGTTATAACCTGCTAAGTAAACACCAGCCTTTTCAAGACCATGTGGTTTGGTGAGCCTAACTCCACCCTTGTCCTGGGAGCCTGGTTATCCAAAGAACAAAGTAACCTTCAAGCCAGCAATCAAAGAAAAGTTTGTTTTAATCTTAAAGCTCTTCTCTAAAAAACCTTTAATAGAGTTCTTTAACGTCTAGTGCAAGTTACTTGTAAATATCCTGATTCTGCATCAGAATGGATCGTTTTACTAGTTCTTTATACCTTTGAAACAATTTAATTCATAAGTACACACGTGTTATAAAATCAAAGTTGAGCTCCTAATGAAAGAAAATCTATATATATAATGTATATAATCAGTAGCATCTGGAGTTAAAAGTATACCTTTATCAGCGTTTCTACTTTTGAAGACTTGGTGGTACCAATTAAAAATAAATTGTACGCTCCTTAGAAGGATTTTCCATTTAAAATGATTTTTTAAAGCGGTTTAATGGAGGGAAAAGTAAAACACAAATAGAATCTTCCTAAGGTTAAAACAGATCTTCGAGAAGGAGGGCCCTCTGCCTCGCGGCTACCCTGTGTGCAGCTCCCAGGTGGGTGCCATTTTCTTTACCCGCTTGTTTGTGACCCCAGGTGACTCCCAAAGTAGCTCCCCGACCTCCACGATTCTCTGCTGCATTTCACCCCTCTTACATGCCCTTCAGCCAGGACTGCTCAGAACCACAAAGGAAGCCCTCTAAGCATGACATTCTCAGTGCAGCACAAACACACAAAAGTATCTACATAATTTGACACTGTTTCGTCAGGTTGGCACCATTAGAAATGACTCAGCATCCTCTCAAAGGGTGACCACCGAGGGGTCACCGACCTGTCTTTAATCTTAGAGAGCTCAGATGTGTTTTCCTACTACTGCTCTGAGTGATACCATGCCAAGGGCACACAAAAACCCACCACAAGAACAGTGACACCGTACAGTGTGGGTGTGTATGTGTGTGTGTGTGTGTGTGTGTATTCCAAAATCTCACTGCCATCAAGTTGATTCCAACATCTACTGACCTTATAGGCCAGGGTGAATGATCCCTGTGGGGTTTTCAAGGTTGTAAATCTTCACTGGAAGAGGAAGCTTCATCTTGCTCCTGTGGAGTGGCGAAGAGTTTGAACCGTTGACCTTGTGGTTCATAGCCCAGTGTGTCAACTTAGAGTGCCCAGAGCTCATTGAAAATGCAAGGACCTCCCTCAAACGTCCACACCTGAAGAGTTTCAAAACAGCCCACTGTTTTCCTGGTTTTCTCTGGGTCACGCAAAGAATCCCCTGCTCCACCAGGGCCCTTTGATTGGGAGGCAGGTAGATAGACAGACTTTTGGCACTCACACCAGGCATGTGCAAAACGAACATGACTTTGGAGTTAACCCCCAAATAGGAATGACCTCTGTTAAATGCCACAGCAGAATGCCAATTGTCAGAAGCTTCTGGGTCAGGCAAAACTTTGGCAGACAAAACCAGAATGAACTACAAAGAATGCAGTCAAGGGTACGTACAGCAAAGACAAACAGGATGGAGAGAAAAGGAGTGGATTTTTAACAACTCCTAGCTGAGAAAACACACGGCAAGATGTAGTAAAGTTTCTGAACACCCTGAAACACGGACTCATAATTCCCAGTGTTCACCTTGGCGGAGCCTCCGAGGACCCATGGAACTGTGGGGCTAACACACTCCTTTCTTTGGGCCCTCCTGTGACCGCCTGGATGCAACTCCTCAGCCTAACGACGGAAGCCCGATTTGTCTGGCTCCTGGGCAGAGAGCACTCTGCGCAGTTAGACGAGAGGGCGCGAAAGAGCTGTGGGTGAGGTGCCAGGGGGCTGTGTGTCAGGCATCACCTCCAGGGGCAGGCAGGCCCCGGGCACTGTGCCACCTTCTCATTGGTCTCCCGCTAGCCCAGGGGAGATTAGGTAAATGGCAGGTTTCCCATGGACTGGTGCCAACTAAGGACACCTGTGAAGGCCTGCTCTCAGGGCAC